AAATAGCAATAATAATAACAATAATAATAATAATAAAATAGCAATAATAATAATAATAATAATAATAATAATAATAATAAAATAGCAATAATAATAATAATAATAATAACATACAAATAATATACAAATAATAAAAATAGTAATTATAATAAGAATAAGTGTTATTTTTGTTGATTACATTGCATCTACATGCCAACTAATTCTCATTAGAGTATTAGACTCTTTGCTTAATATCTGCTGACAATGCTCCACCAGCAGACATTTAACTGACTATAGGAAATTTTGCAGCTACATGCCAACCCTAACCCCAACCCCAACCCCAACCTTACAGTCTACTAAATCTCTAATGAGAATCAGTTGCAATATAGTTTCAATGTAACTTATAATCAACAAAATGTACTAAAGCGACCATGAAAATAAAGTGATACCAAAATGATGAATGCATATTGTGTTATATTAGATGCTGCACTAAAATGCAATGCAAAATTGGCAGAAAATGTGTTTAGTCTGTGTCTGCAGCCTGTTGTTTTCCTCAATGAGAATAAAGCAGTTCATATATCCGCTCTGTGATGTCCTGATTATGGAAATACGTCATCATCATCATCTCCCACATGCTGCTTTATTAGATATTTGGGTTAATTTGATCATGCTTTCAGCTGACAGTGTGAGTCTGCTCCTTTCACATGCATTTAGCAGCTATAATCATCTAATCTCCCATTTTTAGAACAGAAAGTGTAGGGGGGAAACTGTGTAAATGACTGACGTACTTGGCAACCGCAGTGAAGGCCAACTCCACATTCAGGCCTGTTTTAGCACTGGTCTCCATGAAGGGAACGCCAAACTCCTGAACACACAGAGAGACACACAATTTATACAATATATGCAATTTGTAAGCTTAATTAAACTGCAGAATCAGTGGAAATGTTTTTGTTTACATGATGTATGCATAAAAAAATTAAAAGGTATTTATATGTGTCTTTCCACTGGTTTGGGAAACTGAGTTAATGCATAAAATAAATGAGTCAAACTTGCACATAAAATTAGGTAAAATAATAAAATAAATAACGAGAAAATACTAATATAATAAAATTTGTAAAAAAAAATAAACAAATAAAACTAAATTAAATTAAATAGTAAATATAAAAATGTTTAAAAAAGCAAAGCAAAATAAAATAAAACAAAATAAATTACAAAAAATGCACTTAAAATAAATGAAAAAATAATAAATAATGCAAAATAAAATAAAATAAATGAATGAATATTAAATTAACCTAAATTATGCAATAAATAAAAAAGCAAAGCAAAATAAAACAAAATAAATTACTAAATATTAAATTAAGTTAAACTCTAAAATACACAAATAAAGCAAAATAAAATAAAACAAAATAAGTTAATAAATATTAAATTAAGTTCAATTAAAAATAAACAAAAATTGTGAATTAAATTAAATTAAATTAAATTAAATTAAATTAAATTAAATTAAATTAAATTAAATTAAATTAAATTAAATTAAATTAAATTAAATTAAATTAAATTTTAAAGTTTATTTTTCTGAATTCATGAGCAGACAAACTAAAATAAAAAAATACATTTAATATAAAAATATAAAATAATAAATTTTTATATTTACCTTATACTTTTATATTTACTTTATATTTATTATTCGTGCATTTACCCCATTTAATACATTTTACCAATAACAGTTCAGTTTTCGTTTATTTTTAGAAATCTCCCCAGTCCAAACAGAGCTGAATACATTATGAGGGTTAAAAGAAGCAGCTGCACAAAACAATAAAAGATGCTAAACATTGTTAGCGATTTGCATATATTAGTATTAATTCAAGAATTGTGAATGTGACTGAAACACTGAACGCTCAAGCTTCAGTGAAATCTCCACATACTACAACAATGATTGATGTTTTCCCATTTTTAACATGCATTTTTTGTTATTTCAATGGATTCAGGCATAGAATTATTGTTGTTTTCTTTTATACATGTTTATGTGCATTGATGTAACAAACCTTAGCTAGTTTCTCCCCCTCCTCCCTCTTCACAATGCGTTCATGTGTAGCATCAGCCTGAAATAAATCATTCCATTGATTAATACATCAATCAATAAACAACGCATTATGCATTGGTTTGATTTATGATCATTGTTTGCAAGATATATCAATTAAGAATGCATGCACAATGTTATGCAATATCAGGTTCAGGTGTTTAATATAACAACAACAACAATAAAAAAATAAAAAATAAAAATAATAATAATAATAATAATTTAACAATAGCAATATTAATAATAAAGATGATAAAATCGTAATAATAATACATTTGTAATAATAATATTAATAATAGTAAATTTGTAATAATAATAAAATCATTAGCAATAATAGTATTTATAACAATAATAACAACAATAATAGTAATAATAATAATAATAACAACAATAATTCATAATATTAAATAATAATAGTCATAATAATCATTTTAAAATGATAAAATAGTAGTAATAATAATAATAATAATAATAATAATTATTATTATTATTATTATTAATATTTCTATTATTATTATAAGAATAGTGATGATAAAAAAATAAAAATAGTATTAATAAAATATTCATTATAATAACAATAACAATAATTTTATATTAATAATAATAATAATAATAACATTGTAGTAATAATAAAATAGAGGTAATTACAACAACAACAATAGTAATAATAATAATAATAATAATAATAATAATAATAATAATAACAATAATAATAATATTATAATAATAATAGCAGCAATAATAATTATAATAACAATGACATAAACTAAATATTATTATTATGAATAATAATAATAATAATAGCAGTAATAATATTAGTCCTAGCAATAACAATAACAATAATAAAAAATAATAATATTAATTTATAATAATAATAATATAATTTCTAATAATAATTTATTATTAATATAAAAAATAATAAGAATACAGATATTATTAATATACTTCACAGTGTCCTTGTATATCAAATATAAGACAGAAAACATGAAATAAACACGTTAATATTATTATAGTATATTAATATAGACCAAAAGTCTGTCTGTATAGCGCATCAACCATGTTTGTAGTTTCTTAACACGTTTTTGTAGTTCTATTCACATCTAAATCGCAATGCATTCTGGCAAATATTAGCCATTAGAGTAACATCTGCAGTTTGGAAATATTAAACCATACAGCTGACTCTGGGATACTCAGCTCAACACACTATGATTGGAGACAGTAATTCCATATTCGAACCCTATTTAGGATGTGTAGTATGCAAATTAGGATGCATCATACGTTTCCCATCATCCTTCACTCACCTTATTACCCAACAGCATAATGACCACGTTCTGCTGAGCGAACTCGTGAATCTCCGTCAGCCAGGCCTGCAAACACACACACATACACACACACACACACACAGTAAATCCACAGCACATTACTGTAATCCCACACACTCTTCATCTGCTTTAGGGCCTCAGTAAAGTTCAGACTGGTGTCCCTGAGCGAGGGGGAAAGCTGTATTTCCAGACACACTGCAGGTCATTTGAAGGAGCGTTTAATCAATGAAACACCGCCGCTTTATTGGGGTGAATCTGCAGTCACACTAGAAAAGAGCTAATCAGGAGAAGCAGAAGAGATGACACTGGTGTGTGTGTGTGTGTGTGTGTGTGCCAGTGGACATGAAGCCTGACCTCAGGTTAATGAAAGCTTCCTGTTAATATTGAGAGCAGAGAAACAGCAGTGATAAAATGCACTGACACTCTGAGACAGACACACACACACACACACACACAAGCAAATGTACTCACACACACATGCACTCACACACATGCTCATATATACGAACATGCACACACACACATACACAAGCAAATGTGCATACACACACATGCACTCACACATGTGCACACACACACACATTGACATGCACACACATGACACAATGACACACTGAGACAGACATACACACACATACACACGCACAAACACACACGCAAGCAAATGCACTCACACACATGCACATACGCACACAGATACACATATATACAAACATGCACACACACACGCACACAAATGCACACACACACACACACACACACTCACACATGTGCACACGCACGCACATTTACATGCACACACACATGCACTTACATGGACAGGCGCACACGACCACATATGCACATACAAACATACTAACACGTAGCACACATATGCACAAACATTTACACACGCACCCACATGTGCACAGACACACACACACACACACACACACACACACACACGTACAAATGCACACACTCACACACACACAGACGCACACAAATATATTTAAATATTTCACTCTGTATGGAAAAGGGCGGCACGGAGGCTCAGTGGTTAGCACTGTCACCTCACAGCAAGAAGGTCACTGCATAAAACAAATGCTGGATAAGTTGGCGGTTCATTCCACTGGGGCAACTAAAGGGACTAAGCTGAAGGAAAATGAATGAATGAAAAATTGGCCGTACTCTATGAGTGTGTGTGTAAGAAAGAGTGTGCATGGGTTTCCCAGTACCGGGTTGCAGCTGGAAGGGTGTCCGCTGTGTAAAACATATGTTGGAATAGTTGGTGGTTCATTCTGCTGTGGCGACCCCTGATCAATAAGGGGACTAAGCCAAAGGAAAATTAATTAACAAAAAATTGGCCATAGTGTATGAGGGTGTGTGAATGAGTGTGTATGGGTGTTTCCCAGTACTGGGTTGCAGCTGGAAGGGTACCCACTGTGTAAAACAAATGCTGGAATAGTTGGCGGTTCATTCCGCTGTGGTGACCCCTGATAAATAAGGGACTAAGCCGAAGAAAAATAAGTGAATGAATGGTTAGAAGTGTTAGATCTGAAAACAAATGCTGGTAAATTTCCTAAACAATAACAAAGAACACACACTCAAGAAACTTAATTTAACTTAATTGTTTTATTTTCAAACCACATTTGTAAAAGCGATGAGTTAAATGATTTAATAAAGTATTAGTGTGAATCCCAGCGTTTTGTACAGCGCAACACACTGCAATATCAGACTTTAGAAGTTTCTTTTTTGCGACATACAGTATAACTGTAGTCATTTCAGGTCTGTATTAAAAGCAGAGCGTCTCTAATCAGCTTAAATGTTTTCAGTGATGATGACAGCCAGCTGAATGTTCATTATCGGCTTTATTTCACGCCTTTTTCTCACGGAGATGAATGCAAGCTCATGCACGTCTCTCCCAGCGTAAACTCAAGCTCAATGCAACAAGTGTTTTGAGGGATTTATCCCAGCGTAGCTTTTCAATCACACGCCTTTGCGGCTCCGTCTCAAATCTGTGCTCATTCTGGATCCTCTGGTTGAGTAGAAACGTGCAGATCAGATGATTATAGCTGCTAATTTGTTCTAAATGCATGTGAAAGGAGCAGACTCACACTGTCAGCTGAAAGCATGATCAAATTAACCCAAATATCTAATAAACCAACATGTGGGAGATGATGATGGTGACGTATTTCCATAATCAGGACATCACAGAGCGGATATATGAACTGCTTTATCCTCATTGAGGAAAACAACAGGCTGCAGACACAGACTAAACACATTTTCTGCCAATTTGGCATTCATAATTTGAAATCTTTATTATAACAAGTCTCTTTATATTCACAAATGCTGCTTTTTTAAAACAGAAAAAATACTGCAAATATTGCTAATGATTCTTATTAAAATTATTGCCGTTTTACCGCGTCATATTTTTCCTGAAAACAGTGATTCATTTATTTAAAAAGTAGTATCAGTTCCCACAAAAATTCATTCATTCATTCATTTTCTTGTCGGCTTAGTTCTTTTTTACTCTGGGGTCGCCACAGCGGAATGAACCGCCAACTTATCCAGCAAGTTTTTACGCAGTGGATGCCCTTCCAGCCGCAACCCATCTCTGGGAAACATCCACAAAAATAAAAGTAGCAAAATAATAATCATAAATGTTTGATGATTATCAAATCATGTTTACTTTATTTGCATAGCACTGTACTACATAGAAGCCTATTCCTGCCTCCGCATAATAAAAAAGGGGTCCCACTTTATATTAAGTGTCCCTAACTACAATGTACTTGCATCAATAAAATCAATACAATGTATTTACTGTTCTCATAATGTATTTGAGAACACTTGTGGTGCATGCTCTTGAGTCGGGTTATGGACAGGTTTGGTGGAATGGGGAGGTTTAAGGATGGGTTAAGGTGTAAGGGATTGTCAACAGGGTATTTACAAATGTAATTACATAATTTAATTACATATGTATTTAGGTATTCAATCAAGCATAAGTATACAAAAAATACAGGTATTTACACAATTAGTACATTGTAACGAATTTGTAACGACTGTTGATTTGTGCATCTAAAACTCCACATTTATAATCCTATTTTTTAATGCAAAAATTAAATACATAAATAGATACATAAAATACAATGCATGAATAAATAAACAAACACATAAATAAATAAACACATAAATAAATTAATTAATTAACACATAAATAAATAAATAAATAAATAAATAAATAAATAAATAAATAAATAAATAAATAAAAAAACAAATAAATAAACATAACAAATAAACAGTTATATAATAAATCAATAAATAAACATGATAAATAAACACATAAATAAATAAATAAATAAATAAATAAATAAATAAATAAATAAATAAATAAATAAATAAACCCCAATAAATAAATAAACCCAAATAAATAAATAAACAAATAAATAAATAAATAAATATAATAAATGAATAAATAAATAAATAAACACAATAAATAAATAAATAAATCAAGTGTTCTCAAATACATTATGAACACAGTAAGTACATTGTATTGATTTTTTGGTGTAAGTACATAGTTAAGGACACTTAATATAAAGTGGGAGCAAAAAAGATTATTGTGACATTTCATCTCATAATTGTGTCACACAAACTCCAGAATTGTGAGATGTAAACTCAAAATTGCGAGTTATTAAGTCGGATAAGCGAGATATTTACTCACACGTCTTATTAATCTCCAAATTCTGACTTTATTTCTCAGAATTGCAAATTTGTATCTCAGAATTGTGACTTAAAAGCTCAAAATTATGACTTTAAAACTGCCTATCTCAGTATTCAGACTTCATTTCTCAGAATAGAATTTTTGTGTCAGAATTCTGACTTAACTCAGAAATCTGACTTTATAACTTAAAAATCCGACTTTATATCTCAGATATGTGATGTTGAATATCAGAATTCTGACCTAATAGTCCATAAATCTGATTTTACATCTCATACTTTAGATTTTATTTCTCACATTTGTGACTTTTATATCAGAGTTTTGACTTAATAACTCGGAAATCTAACTTTATTTCTCAGAATTGCAATTTTTTATATTAGTGTTACATTAGTGACTTAATAACTCAGCAGTCTGACTTTATATCCCACAATTCAGACTTTACAACTTGGAAATCTGACTTTATATCTTAAAATTCTGTCTTTATATACCAGAATTCTGACTTAATTACTCATAAATCTGACTTTATATCTCAACATTCAGATTTTGTTTCTCAGAATTGCGACTTTATATCAGAAATCTGACATTACATCTTATAATTCTGACTAAATAGCTCAGAACTTCAACTTGATATTTCAGAATTTGTGACCTTATTTGTCAAAATTGTTACTTTGTATCTC